CAGTGTGCTCTCCTCTGCCTTGGTGGATATGAGAAAATGGTTATTTTGGAGACAAAATGATTACCTTCACTCTTATTGCTTCTGCAAAGGACATATAGGGAAAATTATGGTGTTCATCCCAAAAATGAGACAAACATGGCCTGCAGAGAAAACATTTTATTTGCCCCAGCAGGAGGAATACATCTACAGTCGAATAAAAGTGATTCATGTTTATGTAACTTTGCACACACCCCAACAGAAACATTGTTTTTTGCTCATTGTTTCTCTGCACATTTTTTTTTTTTAATGTTAAATAGTGTGTTGGCATTTATAATTGACACTTACAGATTGTCGGTTTAAGAAGGGATATTAATGCCCCTGTTAGGTCTCGACTGCAATGTTGAATGAACTTGAGCTTGTGCAGCGCTTTTCTATACTTCTGACTACTCAAAGCGCTTTTACACCACAGGTCAGATTTCTATGTAAAGTTAACATCAGAGGTAACTAATCCCATTCATACGCTGCTGCCAAAGAAGCAGGAGCAACTTGGGGTTAAGTGTCATGCCCAAGGACACATCGAACATGTTGCTACAGGAGCTGGAGATCGAACCAACTCTACCAACTGAGCCACAGCCTGAAATGTGATGAGGTCAGCAGATGTATGTTTAGGTCAGGGTTAGGTTTGGGACGAGGTTAATGCTTGAAGCATTACGTGCACAGGCCACTGGTCCTGCCCCTCTAATTGTGTTCAAAAATCAAATAATTAAAGAATCCATTAAAACCCTCTTCCTCATCCCTCTTTCAAATAAATTAAGGGTAGGAGGGTTAAACAAACGTTGGGCTGATAATAATGGCTTTTAAAAGTCAGTAAGAAATAAATATGTTAATAAAAACAGAGATAAAAGAGGTCATGAAAAGCAAGATGGAGGGTTGAAGAAAGGACCTGTGCGGACCCTCTCCTCATGACCGTCAGGAGTCCCTCCTTCATTTAAACCCAACTAATACAAGTTTTGAGGCCTCAGGAAAGGGCTCACTGCTAAAGGGAGTCAGTTGGTGGTTAAGGTCAGAGGTCGTATTGGGGAGAATGGTTAGGTTTATGGTAATGTGTATTGTGGAGCCAACAGGGAATAACAGACTAGTCAACAACAGAAATACTAGTCAGATAAACAAAAATATATTTGCTGGTCAAATGTTATATACAAACTGCAACGCTGTCGCCCACCACTAGTCGGGGCTTTAGCCATAGACTGAATGTAGCCGGATGTAAACGAGCACAGTGATTGGACAGCCTCTCTCCAGAGGAGCAGCAAATGTCTGAGTGTGTTACCATGTGGGAGAAAAAAACGCTGAACAAAAAGCAGCCAACAAGACAGGCAGGCAGGGATAGGAAGTGATGTGAGAGCGTGTGTGATTCACTTCAAAATGCTTTGTACTTAAGTGAACATCTTTTTAAACTCACACATACAAGTTCTGAAATGGTAAAAGAACAAAAAGTAAGCCAAAGATAATTAGAGCTCCCAAGCTAGTGTACATTTCTGACAGTACAAACAGGCTGCGACAACTTTCAAGGCTGAGAGAAACTATTTTTTAAAGAGCTCACAGAGGGAGGGAAGTGAGGGGGGGGGGGGTGAAAAGTAAAGAATCATACATAGATATTCCAAGTTGAGGAAATGGAAATCCGAATTGCAGCCTCAGCGGAGGCAGTTTATATCCATCACTTTTGGTATTAAATTTGCAGTAATGATAATGGTGACAGGAGCGGCCATGAACTCCGGACCTGGCACAGGACTGCACTGCATTATTTATAGAGCGCACAGCGAACAGAATCTGGACACACACTGAAACCTCCTGCTTTGGCACACGCTCCTCTCCAGCAGGGAAATGTTGGGGCCAAAAGTGAGATTTTAGGTTTTTCTAACACAAGAATTGAGTCCAGCATACAGCCGACAATAAGTGAACAATCATGGTTACACATTTCTGCATGTCTCTACAAGCAGGCACCAGAAATGATGTTTGTGGTTGAAAACCGGTTTATTAGTCGGCTGTGTTGAATGCTTGATTCTGATTGGCCAATTACACATAGTAATGTTTGAAAGCCTAATTAAAAAAAAACCATCTAAAATCAAACAGACTGAGAACAGGCAGTCAGGTTTCTATGACTATGATAACTATTCGCCTTAAAGGTCCAATCTGTAAGATATCTACTGAATGACATCATAAAATGACCATATTATGATCAGACATTAAGGAAACATGCTATGTTGAAGTGCTGGCTTCTCTGACAACAATGCAGCAGCCAGTATGTCCTCCTTCTAACTTTAGATTCTGCTCCTGAATGCTCTGGATTTGTTTGGACTAGAGGTAGACTGTTTTAAGGCCCCCCCCAACACCTGTTTTGGACGCCTCTCGGTTTGCCAGGCAAACTTCAAACCAACAGGTGTTGCAGCGATGGAAGCAGGCAAGAGAAGTGGTTCAGGTAGAAGTGATTGTACCCGACCTAAAAAGCCTCTTCATGTTTCTAATAAGCTCCACGAGCAGAAACGTGTTCAAACTAGGATCAATATTGGAGATGCTTTTGAAAAATGGAGAGAGGTTAGAACACAGAAAGGTTTACAGACTGATGCAGAGCTGGATAAACACTGAAGCTTCAGTGTCCACCACATGGCGACCAGCGTGAGCAACTCAACACAGAAATGCAGAAACCTAAACACTGAAGCTTCAGTATCTGTGGCATGTAAACCTATAAGCATGCAGTACCCATTTTAAAACACTAGGTGTCAGAGATAAATTTTGCTCCTTTAATATTGTCTTATATTACAAACATGTTCTTTTAACTATCAGCTATTACTCAACATCTTCCCTAAATATTTCTGAGACCACGTATACCAGCTTCAACACTTAATCCTGAGCCAGGCAGTCTTTATCAACACCAACTCATCTGTTAGGTACTTTTCAATGACACAAAACTAGGTAAAATGAGCTCATTGCTTTTACTTAATTACATCTCACTATTGGTTTACCGTCACTGAAGCACTGAAGACAAAGACAAAAGAACAAAGCAAGAGAAAAAGGGAGTCGTTGTTTTTGTCTCTCAGACTTCTAATCCCGCTTCACACAAAATCATAAGGCTGCTGCTTGAATTGGATTCCTTCCCATCAGGCGAATTTTAATAAAGAGGAGCCGTGTTTTGACAATAATGCGTGTTCTGAGTGATAAAAAGTGATACAGAACATCTTTTCATTACATGCTCTCACACACAGACAGGAGGCGCTTGATTGAATTCTAGTGCCGGTGCTGCATTATGAGAAAAAAATGATTTATATATACAGAGCTGAAAAGAAGAGTAACATCATATTGACCTCTACCGTTTGTTTCTGCGCATTTATATGATTTCATTATAACTAATTTATTCCATTTCAGTTGAAAACAACGTGTTTTTATATTTGATATAATCCTCTGAGTGATGTTTGCTTTAAAACTTTAACTCATTACTTTTCTCCTCAACTTTTAAAGAATAGATTGAAATATTTATAATCGTATTTTGAGCACAGATGGGGGAGAAATTCCTTATTTGCAACATTCACATTTTCAAGATACTCAACAACAACTTAATGTGTTTTTAGCCTGTCTAGCATTTACCTCGCCATTTCTATCCGCCACTGTGTTTACAGGACAGACAACCTGCAATCCAAACACCAAGCAGCCAAGACGGCTTCTAAAGATTTGAACTAAATATGAAATACAGGTGGAAATACTTCAAAAGGGCCTGTGTCCACAAACGACGTTTTTTTCGCGCTGGATGTCCTCGCGACCTCATTTTCAGAACACTTCTCACCGGCACTTATTATTATTATTGCTAGGTTACGAAAGTTAACTTCTGCTTCCTTTGTAAGGTCTGTAGGTGTGTTAGCTCTGTATGCTTTGCTTTATTTAAGGAAATATCACGAGTCAATCATATCAGGAGTCATGCAGAGGTGCTTCCTGTCAACAGGCAAGGCAGGCAACTGCTTGAGGTCCCAGGCCAGTAGGGGGCCCGCCCAAGGGCCAACAAACCTTAAACCACAGCAGTAGCCCAAAATGTGCAAATTGTGCATTGACAGCTGGAAACCTCCCTAAGGTGGCATCATCGCTGTGAACCCCAATGTTTGTCACTGAATGAAAATGAAGAGTCAGCGTCGAGAAACTGGAAGAAATCAAGGTGATGAACGCTGGATGGAGGGCCCTCAATTAATTTTTGCCAAGGACACCAACAGACTCTAAAATCACCACTGGAGTCAAGTCTCGGCACCAGCAGCCGCTCTACACCTGGAAATTGTTCCCTCCAAAAGACTAGTCAGGCTAGCTTCTCTTGCACCATTGTTGTTGTCAGAGCTAATGTTGTAAGTCCCACCTTGTCTTCATTCTGATTGGTTGGTGAGGGAGAAGTGGCATTGACAAACGTGGTCTGTGGACACCGGGCCTAATGTGAATGGACTGGCTCTGAATATTAGTTCATATATTACATTCATAGATTTCAGATCGTGTTTTATCTTTTCACTCTTGATGATCCTCTTAACTTTTCTTTGCGATGATAAGCAGCCTTAAGAAGCCTAAACCACATCGTAACCTCCTCTTTTTTTATATATATCTGTAACAATGTGTTGCAGATGTTTAATTTAGCAGCTATAGTTATAGTGTTTGACAAAAGTCATCAATGTGAAATCTCTCTGGAAAACTCAAAGGCTGAATAGTTCCTCCTTAGGAAGGCATTGTTTCGGTTGGGATTTAGGCAAGGCCTGTGCTAATCTAAGGACTGAAATCAAGGAATCTTAGCCTACATTTTTCAAAGTGTAACATTATCAGAGAAGCATTTCTGAGGCCATGAGCCAAAAGGGTTGAGAGGCGCTCCAGAGGTGGATGGTGGTGAGAGCTTAACATCCTCCAGCCTGTTGATCTTTTAAGTCCAGCCACACAAAGTCTCTTTTTTATCCAACTAACAGACAGACATACACACCAATGCAAGGGTGCAGACCCCCTCTCACCTGTAAATCTTGTATCTGGTAGAAAATCCCTGCTGGAACCTCTCTCTGAACTCCGTGTACTCGGGACATCTGTGGAAAGGTCCTTTCTCCGACAGCAGCCAGTCCAGCTGCCCCCCACTCTGCCTCGTGTTGAAGCCCCACGCCGAAGAGCTGGACGGGGACGATGAGGACGAGGAGGAGGAGGATGAAGATGACGTCAACGAGGGGGACGACAGGGAACCATGGAAAGCCTTCCCACCGTGTCCCCCACCGCCCACTTGTTCAGCTCGGGTGGGCCATGGAAGCCATAGCAACACCCACGGCAACCATAGGAGCATGAAGGATGACGCCGACCATCTAGCATGGGAGCACCTCTCTTTTCTCATTGGCCAAGGAGTCGCCATGGTCCTGGTGGTGATGTACTAGGGCGCCTAGGACCGGCATTTCTTCTGACAGTCACCTCCCACTGGCCCTGAAATCAAGACACAGACACATTTAACTTCAGAACCATAATGAGAGGTTTTTAAAACACATTTTTCCATTGGGTGAAAACAAATTGACATTTCATTGCACATGTTATAATTACAGTCCAGAAACCATGAACACAGCATAATGACCCCCCAAAGTAGTGTCAAACAGGAAACCATCAGTCATAGCAGTGTGTGGCTGTTTTCATCTCGTCTGCTGTTAAGCGCATGAAAGGATTTCCCTGCATGCCAAAGACGCACGTAATTATCGTAATTAAACCACCAAAATGTATTCAATGCACAAATCAGAAGGGCACTGCTTTCATTCCTCCAAAGACATTCTGTTCATATACAAATAAAAAAATTACATTTCACTGATGAGGGCAGTGCTTCCTGTCAGGCCCCATTTCTGCTTGTCATATCAAGCACCTCATAACTGAATAAATATGCGCTGAATTTTATTCATTTTGTGTGCGGACACATCTCCCCAATCTGATGCATCTGTCTACTCCTGCTAAATGCAAATCAAGGTGAGCACAGCTTTAGTCCAGCTGGTGGTAATACACCCACTCCCCATCCATACAGGTCAATGCTGTCCCACCCGCACAGCTCAGACAGATGCTACACCTTCTGGGTGATCAGGTTAGAAGTGCTCAAGCCTCCTGTTTAGAAAAAAAGGTTGTAATATTTATTGGATTTCTGTGTTTTAATTCATGCTAAAGCTGCAATTAGAGTCATATAAACTGATTCATTTGATCCAGGCAGTGAACTAGATTACCCACAATGCCTCCTAAAGAACCAAAACCTAATGAGCTTGAGCTTTATCGATTTGCTGTTCCTGTGGTCGAGGTACATGGCAGGAGAAACGGTAGCATGGTGTTAAATCAACTGTAAAAAACACAGGCCGGATTGATTCCTTGTCGCTTCGGGCCACTGCTATGATGATCTGTCAGTCGACCATAAGGTCAGATGTTAGCCACTTACAGACTGCGGTTCCATAACAGCGCCATAATATTGTTCCGCTGTCATTACACACTTGTACTAACACGTTGAATCTGTACTAGTGTAATATTGGCGTCCCAGTTTGTGAATCCATATCACATTACAGCGTTGCAGAACACAATAATTACTACTCTCCACAACCGTGGAGGTTTAACAGGTTTGAAAGTATTCCGCCTTCAAATTGCAGTCTGTAATCACTAACTCATTACTCTGTGCCAGGTAGACGATGAGCAGTCATCCAAATGTGTTAGCGGGCGTTTAAGTAAAAATGCTAGTTTGTAATCCAAATCAAGGCCCAACACATTCCAGAGTGAATCCTCAGAGTGATCTAATACTGATCATAATCTAATGTAAACTTGAGGAGTACATGGTTTCATGCCTGACAGTGTGGCAGGAATATGAATCCTGATTTAAAGTATTCACAGTGTTGAATACTGTCATATTACAGACAGCACTCTTGATGTTAAAACCAGTAGAAAGTGAGTTGAAATTACAGAGCAGAGAAAAAACATGGTAAGGGGTTTATGAATTATTTAAGAAGAAAAACAAATTCAATATGGCCTTGGTGATTAGAGTAAGTGCAACTCGGACACCAAACAGAGGAGCAAAATAAAAATAATACAAACAAAAGGGATATCGCAGGAAGCATACAGACAAAATAAGCTGCCGCAGTCGACACTTGAAGATTCTTAAAATCTTACAGCTCCTATGAGGAGTTTTCAACTAGTAATACAAAGACTGGAATTAATACTGAGGCACTTTTACAACCTTCAAAAGCAACAAAAAAAGACCATCAGTGTAAAGATTGAGAGTTTCTAAAGGGTTATTATTAATGTCTGAAACCTCTGCCGCAGGAGGTAAGGAGTCAGAACAAGTGATTAATGCTGCTGAAAGAACATTTCCCATAGTAAAGAGAGTGATACATTGGACTGAAAGAAAGGAGGAGGAGATTATTCTTCACAGTATTTAGTTCAGAACGTCAAGGACAAAATTGGCAAAGACAAGTGGTACCGCTTTGTCCACGGGGGTGGCACAAAATGCAAGAAATAATGGCAAAATAATGGTAGATTTAACAGTTTTGTTCTTATCTTGTGTGGGGAGCAACAATTTGACCAAAAAACACCACACTCAAACAGATTCCATCCATGAACATCTACGAGTCCAGACCTCTCAAAACTGGATATCTCCCTACCTCTACCGGTTGAATGAAAATCTAAAGGTGAAAAAGAGAGAAAGGAAAACTATGAATAAAACTGTGAATGGTGTACATATAGAGTGAGCTGGAGAGTAATAATTAATTTGCTGCAGTTGTTGTTGAGCTTCCTCCTTCAGTCAGAGAGCTTTCCAATAAGGGGCGGCAGTAAGTCTGTAGGGTCTTGGGTTGGGAACCAGAGGGTCCACACCAGGACTTGAACCGGTGACCCTCCGGTTTTCCAACCCAACTCCCGGTGCAGACCAAATGTGGAAATTGGTCTGGTAGTTGGAGAGGTGCAAATTTACTTCCTGAGCACTGCTGATGTGCCCTTGAGCAAGGCACCAAACCGCCGCACCAGCTCAGGAGTGCTCGCTGTAGGCAGCCTCCCTCACTCTGAAATCTCTTCTTTAGTGCATGTTCATAGGATCCTGTATGTGCATGTGTGTGTATTTCAGCCTAGTGTGTGTAGCATTTTCAACAACAGAGTGTAAAATTAATAAAGTATATCTTCTTCTTCTTCTAAGTTATTGTATTTTGTGATTTAAATCAATAAAGAAAATGTATGCAGGAAAGCAGCAGCTGTTCAGTCTCCCACTCAGTCTCCGGTTCTTCCTCTCAGTCCAGTGCATGCTTAACTGATAAAGAACATAACATTTAATATTGTGTTGCCATGACGTTCTTCTGATGAAAAATCCCTCGTAACACAAACCTTACACCACATGAAAATCCTATAGGTTTCTAAATGGTGAAGGTGTGTTGAATTCAATCAGTGCTATAATACAGGTCCACCCATTAATAATGTTGAGACAAAATATTAAGACCAAGACTGCAGGACGGACAGCAAGGACTTCTTTTGTAGTGGTAATAAAGTGATTTCAGTTAAACGTGAATGACTTCACGAAAGCTTTCCTCATGATTGAGAGGTACTTGGAGGAGCACTTGTTAGATATCGAGTGTTGAATGTGTGAAGCTGCAGCGGCACCGCGACATGTCTTGACTGCTTCCTGTGTCTTTACACTCGGTGCAGTTTGGACAAGAATGTCATCACCTACCTCCACATCAGGGCGCTACATGAAAACACAGCAAACACATCAGCCCACTGCAGCTCCAGTGTGAACTCAAACCGTCTGACGCAGAACCTCGTGCTTGGGCCTGTCTGTGTGCGGGGCGGTGCAGACAAACACTCTTTATTAACACTTTATATTAAGTACTATTTATGGCGCCCTTTAGGAGCGTTGAGGCTTGCTCTTCATTTCACTATTAATGACTTTGCCAGGCAGCTGGGTGGAGCCTTTGGGGGGACGAATCAGCATTACAGAGCGGCTATGTAGAGGAGCGGAGGATGCTTTAAGTGGATGGGGATCTTAAGTATTCCCAGTTTATCTTACAAACAAATCAGAGAATTAATTTCAGGTGGATAAATGCAGGCTCAGACATGAAAACACAATACTCAGGGCGCCGCATTTTTAATTTGCGCTCGCTGCACCGGGAGATTACGGCAGTTTGAAAAGGCAATTAGCAAAGTCATGTGTCAAACGGATGTATTTATGCATCCAGGAGCAGGATCGCAGTTTGATGAATAGAATATTATGCTAATGCTGTTTCTTGTACAAGTCTGGCCCAAAGGTACGAGCTGGTGCAAATTAAAAACGTGCCACATGGTGGGTGTCTAGTTTCTATTTTTTGTATTGTCCTGGGAGGAGTAAAAAAAATCATGTACTGTGGAATAAGACAGCTTCAAAATAAGTACCCACACACACAGATTTAAATGATACTGAAAAAGAAGTTTACACATAAAAGTACAACTTTTAGACCAAAGGAAAGGAGATGGCCCACTCAGTCATTCCCTATATCTGTGCTGTAGACATCAGCACTCTGTCCCTCAACTGAAGCTGACTGATAGATCCTGTGACAATGTTCATTCATCTTATTGGCACAAACGACTGGACCAGTTTCTCAAAAACCATACAGGCTATCTCCAAGACGTTCTTTATCAATGCTCTAGATCCACTACCACTGGTAAATCTGAAGACAGTTTTACAAAGACTGACTTTTACAATGACGTGGAAAGATGAAGTAGCAAGGCAAGGCAAGTTTATTTCTATAGCACATTTCCACAACAAGGCAATTCAAAGTGCTTCACACAAGACATCAAAAGCATCATGACAGAGGAAAGAAAAAAAGAAATAAACACTGAAATTATAAAAAATATGTTCAAATAAAAATAATAAAAATTAAATTAATTAAAATTAAATAAGTAAATAAAAGTAAATAAATCAAAAGAGTTAAAAAAATATAATAATAATTACAGTGCAGAGTAAAAGTTTAAAATCTTATTAAAGCTATTTAATGAAAGGCAGCTGTAAACAGGTGAGTCTTCAACCTCGATTTAAAAGAGCTGAGAGTTTCAGTAGTAAGCCTTCAGATGGATGTCAAAATGAATGTGTGGCACTTTGCTGTCTCTTTTTTTCTTTTTTTTTGGACAGTCTGGATGATTTTCCCCAATGGCAGCTGGGATTGGCTCCAGCCCCCTGCGACCCCCGAATGGGTAAAGCAGTATGGATGGATGGCCACATCATTCAACAGAAATCTCCGGAAGAATTCAGTGCAAATGATACAAGGGTTGTCTAAGTACAGGGTAAAATAAAATATTTGGCTTGGAATAAGTCCATTAAAACCAGCCAACCATTACAGACCAGTCTGAAATATCCCAGTCGTAAGAGCCCATGGACAAAATTTAAATAACCTAAATTGAAACCCTAATTTCAAAATGTGTACACATATATATACTTTCTGTACCTTTTTTTT